CTGGGTATACAAAAGCTCGTTTGCTCCACCATTAAGCGGGTTCTGGAGTCAGTGAACAGCGTTCACTGCATCAAGGATCACTTTCCAGATCTGCGCGAAACAAACGGGTCCATAGACATTCCTGGATGCCTTTCTGTGCCTGCTATACCTCCAGATCAGTTACTAGAGGACAGAATGGTTCTCTTTGATCTCATGACCTTCAGAGGGGATTTTGGGTGGAAGCCCCGGCCGATTTGCGCCAAGGTGTGCTGGGGTCGTTAACTTGATGGGGTAGCGACACATGAAGTAAGCGGGGCCAGTTTGGAGAGTTCTTACCGCCTAGGTTAATCCGTGACTGCTGGGCATTGGGTGACGCGGGAAAACTGTACTTACGGTTCTTCATCATCACTTTTGTGATAGCAGAAGACAAAATGGTCCTCTTCGATTTCACGACCTTCAGGGAGGATTTTCCGTGGAAAACCCCTGCCGATTTACGCGACGATCGACGTGTCTTTAACGTGTTGGGCAGTGACGCAGGAAGTAAGCGGGGGCCGGCTTGGGAGTTCTTACCGCCTTGGTTAATACTCCGTGACCACTAAGAATTGGGTGACGTGGGAAACGTGTGCTTATGGTTCGTTAGCATCACTCTTTAGAGAACGTCTGAAGATTCTGAACTTATTTTCTGAATTCTCTAACCAGTTTGGATGTTCTGCTGACCAAATCGAAATTCTCGTTGAAGTAAAAACTTAAGTTTTGTACTGTAAGTACTGTCAGCTAAAACATCAACGGACGTGCAGAAATTATTTTTAAATTTCATAACATTTTAATTTCCGCAGAATGAATCCGTCATTTCTAGTGTACGTCAGTGGTGAGATAACAGCCACCAAAAAGTAAAAACTAAAATGTAATTTTAAAATTTTTTTTGGAAACATCCAGTTTTTTTTAATTCATCTGTCAGTCACGAAACATACACTTAAGAAACATGAAATCTGAAAAGTGGTTCATATAAAAAGTGGCACAATAGAAAAGAAAGTAATGATTTCTATTCAAAATAATTTAAATGCTCCATTACAGTCCGTTTAAAACACATTCTAAATGCAAAAATGTCGGTCTGTACATATATCCAACTCCATACATCCAAGTCCTTTGTATCTTCAAACACCGTCAAGAATAAAACATGAGTCGACATAGAAGCTGCCCGTGCATGACTGTACAGCCAACCTCGTTAATACGAGCACTCTTAATACAAGATTCTGCTTATGACAAAACATTTTTGGGTCCCAATCCTTTGCTCCTCACTATTTGTTCCTGTTATAACAACGTATTTGCCTAGTCCAAAGGACCTGTTCTTAATGAGGTACGACTGTAATTGTCTACTTGCTCCGGTTGGGAGGAGGTTGTGAATTCGACTCCGCCCAAGTAAGCCTGAATGTTTTGATAAAAAAAACTGACCGACCACAAGGTGTTATTCCAACAGTTGTTGCTATGTTTACATCACTTCTAGCACCAGGTACGGCCATGTCCACCTTTATTTCAAGTTCTTGTCTTTTGAGACCTTGTGCAATGTTACCCCTTTCAATGTTCTTATTTTGTGCTTTCTCCCAGTTTCAATACAAACAATATGGTTGAAAGGCACTGTTTTTGAAGGCACTTTTTTTCCAAGGAAGACAAAATTACCGGTAATTAAAAGCTGATAATACTCAAAATTGCATTTTAAATGTTTTATATCTATAAGGCACCCATTTTGAAAAACAGCTGACATTTCAGGATATGCTCGGTTTCTAATTTGACTTGGCTTCAATGAAGAAGTAATTTTTCAATTCATTGCCAAATTAAGAGATTATCTTACAATGCATACCTCCCACAAACCCCTTCAGGGTTCCCACAGAAATCTGGAAACCAATTCCATGACTTTTCCAGGAATAAAGTATAACAATTTCCTAACATTTATCGTCATTTTGCACAGAAAAAATTGGGAGTATAAATTGGAAGATTGCCAAAGCCACTACAAAAGCCTGTAAATTATCCTTATTCTGTTATCACATCACAGCCACACCATAAAAACTTAACCTGCTTGATACTGATTTCCACTTTTTTTCTTTGACAACAGGATTACAGTACACGTACATCCTGTTTCCCCCAATTTTCCATGACGTTTCCATGACCTTTCGGGGCAACATTTACAGGCTTTCCCAGTTTTTCCCGTGTGACCGTGGGATCCCTGCTCTTGCATACATGCTACATAACCTTTGGTGCCGGCCTTTGTCCAATAGAAGAGTTACGCCGTAACTACAGCACTATCCCAATAACGACAAAGGCCATGCTATAGCTACAAATTATTTTATTCAGACACGGTCTGACTTTAGAGATGGCCAACTGAAAAATTGTGGGAGATGTAACGAAATAAAGTTCAAAGGCTCTTGGGATATGGGCCCCGAGCTGGACCATGAGAGGGCGCGATTTTCCTAGCAATGGAGGCTCCTTTGGTAGGAATTTCACACAAACGAATATGAGACGCATGCGTTGCGTGCGCGTCTCTACCAACAAAACGAACACTCCTAACCCGCATTGCTCTTTTCAATCAATGAGGGGATGATTCTGTTCAGGGCGGATTGGTATTTTAGACTTGACATTCATTGATATACCCAGCAATAGTGTGAGAGCTAGCTGAAAGGATGATTCCTTAGCACCCAGTTCATGTTAACAGGTAACAAGAGTGCAAGGGAACCAACTGACATGGACGGAACTTCCCTTAGTACCTGATGATTGTTAACAGGCAGCAATGGTGCATAACCTTCTCTCCATTACTTATTGGACTATACTGATAAACATAATCTAAATTTGTATCGTTGGTAATTGACAAGATAAAATTCGTTACTCCTGCAGTGGGCCAGATGGTATGGATCAGTGCATTTGTGCTGTTACTTGCAATTATGTCAGTTTTAGACAAGTAAGACACCCAGTACATGTAGGTGAAGATTTCTGTATTTGATAAGTAATTGCATGTAATGCTGGAAATGAAGCCATATGCACACACATTCAACAGAGTGGGTTTCCTTTCCACGACATTTTCATATCCCCTGGTTTAAGTGATAAGTGGCTGGGATATGGGATACAGAGTTTGTATCACTTTGTAGGAAGTTAAAACCAAAGAAGGATAATGAAAACAAGAGATTAGTAAACACATGGTATCCGTTCCTCTTAAAAATTATTTCGAGCTTTCTAGACCGTTTTGTTTTGTTCATGTCTAAAGTAACTGCACAAGTCCCTAGCATTATCTGTCCAATCCTATTTTGTTAACTCGGACCAAATACAATGTGAGTTGTATTCACAGTATTGCGACCCTGATTACTCATAAAGACAAACTCCCAATCTGCAGGCAAAGTCAGCACAAAAATAGTGAGTCTTTTGTCTGCATCCTATTGAGTGTATGTGGATCTGAGGAAAGCTGTAGACTAAAGAATCTGCTGACAAACATTCTCTTTATAATATTTCATGTAGCTTTCATACTGAATATGGAAATTCATGGCTGCAGATTATCAAAATGAAGCAATCTTCAAGCAATCTTGAATTTCCCAGACAAAAAAGGGTATAGCAAAATAGGTATCACTGTTGCCATACCTCGTGATTTGGGGCAAGCTTTTGGATACCGACCACCATCCCTGGAATGGACTGGTTCCTTTGTGCCCTTGTTGTCGACTGAAAACAGAGCATTGGTGCATTGGTGTCTCTCATGTACATCTAAGCATGAGAATTCAAAATGGTTATGTTCACCTGTATTTAAAGAACTCGGTGTACCAGATTTTATTCCAATCTCACCTGCAAAAGGCTTATTGGATGGTCTAGTACCAAAAAGCTGGTCATCAGCAAAAAGACACATAGCCTTCAGCCCAGAAAAAGCTCACGTAAACGTTTTTGAAATGTTTTTTTTCTTTCAATTATCTTTTGTGCTATTGCCAGCCCCCTACTCGATCAAGCAAGTACATAAATGCTGACATTTTCTCATCTTTTCTCATCCTACAAATTCCTGGAAGAGCACTCAACAATTTCCTGAGGGAAGAGTCAATTCACAAGTGTCTTGACTTGAGAGATCATAACCGCCTGTGTTCTGCAATTTCACCTGCGTATACATGCTCCCCATCAAGTTATGAGTTCAGGTTGTAATGCAACTCAACATTGGAGTATTTAAAAGTCATGTCGCATACACTGATCAGTGAAGTGAACCGAATAGAGTTGGACTGGTTTCAAGTGGACTGTTGAACCAAACTGAAATATTTACCCTTGAATGGACAACACACTGCTATATACTATAAAGCCGTGGAGTGAAGGTTGTTTCTGAAATGGCTGTCAGTTTTTATGGCCGGGTGTAACGTCAGTATATGCCCGCATATTTGCAACTAGCAAGGGATATTATTTAATTACCGAACAGGTGGAATACGTAAGCAAGGGTGTAAAGTTTCATCAATGACAGATGTCTCTTTGGTGCAAATCAACACAGACAAGCACATGCAGAATAGTCATTATATAAAGTGTGTGTGTATTCAATTCCTGATATCTTTATCACCGTGGACTGGATCTAGAGGCAGTTACCTGAGGGTGATTTGGAGTCGATGTTGAAAAATTCTGCTGAACATGATTGCTGGAGGCTGTAGTAATCCAAACTCTGGGACTGTACATGGGTGTTAATGTCATATGGAAGTGTACCTTGCGCTGCCAAGCACAATTAAGAGCCAGTGAACATAGAAAACATGCGACAGAATACCAAATAGACTATGAGCTGGAACAAACCATATAATCTGGCCTTGTGCAAATACAATCAAGAGTTTTGCCTTGATATCCTCAAAAAATTGAAAATTTAAAGAGTTCAGGGACTAATTCACAATGGCAGGGGGCATCCATGACATATGAATGTCAATGGGTGACAGTAATCCCCTAACCTGCT